ATCCAAGGAGGTCTAACAGCAGTTCGTTTTGCCGCAGCATTGGGCTGTGGCCAATCTTGCATCAGACGATTCACTTGCATAAAGCTCATCCGTGATGAGTGCGGCATCAGCAAGCCTTGTTTTAAGGCTTCCTGCAAATCGTTTCTGGCAAGATTTTCACGAGACGTGCATTCATTAAATTCTTTAACTTCTTTACTACATTCAGCATTTTCGAAGTCGTGTTTCTTTAGGCAAACCAACAAAGCACTCAACTGCTGAACACAACCACGACCTAGAAGAAACCATTTTTAAATTCAGAAAGGTAGACTTCACACAACTGAATTAATGACTTATACGCAAGCACGAAATTCCTTTGAGAAAAAGAGATCAGATACTGCAGAAAGGATGAAAATGAAACAGTGCCCCGCACATCTGACTTACGGGAGTAGATAGATTGAAGAAAATGGAAGGAAGCTTAAAAAGCTGCCTGAACATGTGAGTGACTTCAGCACGGCAGAAGAAAAGGGTTGTGAGTTTGGAAAAGGAAGAATCCTGTTCGTTCTTAAACCGGATTGGTACGGAACTGTCCGGCAAGAAACCAACCGAAGGAACAGAAATATCTTGAATGTAAAACGACAGAGACCATACCTATGGGAACAGGTCCACATGGTTTTCAAAGGTGGTACTTAGTAGGAACATTTTGCATCACTTAAATCTAATTACATCGTGATGTACATCAAAATCTGTGCACCACGCATACTGATCAACACTTACTTTTTCACCAAATAACAAGCACCATTTGACCCTCCTCCTATCCAAATCACAAACCCGGCAAATGAAAATCATCCAAGCCGGGAGAGAGCGGACTCCATCATATTTAACCCATCCCACAAGTGAATCGCCTTGTTAAGATGCAAGATCGTTAAGGATATTAATCGAAATTTAACCGCGGTAAACCCTTGTGTGAATCAGTTATACACCAAATAAAAATTGATGAAAAATTGACATTTAAATTAAACAGAGAAATACACCTATAGTACTGTTTACTAGAGAAAGTTCGTGTTTAATGCCGCCAGTAAGCATAACAAATACGCGTTATTTGTTCGGATTTTTATGGCGTAATGGCACAATTTCCTGCTTCTAACTACTTCTACGGGAAACGTTCAGCAAATCACGCCGTCACATTTAGAGCGCTTATGCAAAGCTGCAACAAGTTGCTGGGTGGAACAGTTCGAAATTTGCAAAGTTTAAAATAAGACATTTAAGCTTTATGTAAAAAACCCATTTTTCCTCAAGGATTCAAATCCTTTATCAAAAAAAAGTATAGAAAGAACAAGAAGCAGAATACAGGAACGAAGGGAAGATATGAATATGAGCAGCTAAGTTGTAAAAGTTGTAATGTCTATAACGGCAAAGTGACACTTGTACAAAGCAAAGCCAAAATTAGTATTCTGACTACCTGCAATTCTATCTGCCTTTGCGGATACAACGTTTCTTGTCTTAAAAGGTAGCAGTTCCTTGAAAAACATTTCTTTTGGTAAAACCGATCGGCTAGAGAAATTCTTCAACAGGACCGGCATGTACCGCATGATGACCTGAAGCAAAGTAGTAACAACGACATAAAATTATCCTGAAAAGTACTTGCTAAAATGTCAATAAGTTGCACAGTGAGAGGCATCGAAGGAATCAATAATTTTAAAGGACTTCAGATATAATCGCTTTAATATTTAGCACTTATCGCTTATGGTAGTTAGAATTCTAAATCTATAAAATGCTTTTCCTTCTCTAATAAATGCAGTAAAGTTTTTGTATTTCCCTAAACAAAAATAAATGGTTAACTTTTAGCAGGCCCTTACATAGAATGTTACATTCATAAATCACCTGCATTAAATCCTAAGTCTCTTCCATTAATCTTTCAGCTTACAATGCCATCCTCGGTACTTCGCTGTTCATCATAAGACGAGCAGATCGATCAATTATTTTACTTTCGATTCATGAGAAAGCACCCAAACAAGCAAAACAGACAAAACTTAGAAACAGCCCAAATTAAAAAATATAAGGACTCTTTACAATTCTGAAACTAGATATTATGGCACATTCAATACTCCCTGCTCCTAGCTGCAAACGAACTCACGGTTTATGAAGAGCATACTATATGAAACGAAAAGGCCGGAGAGACGGAAGAAACAATACTACAAACTTTCCGTCGTTTCGCTCATGTTTTAAACAGTTCATAAGACTCATCAGCAAGAAGCGCATCGGATTCGGCTACATCTGATGAAACATGTCAGGAAATGGACAAGATATATCAACTTCTCTGAACCTCCTGGACAACGAAGAAGTAAAACTCCGGCGAAATTGTTCAAGATCATAAATTCGCATCATCATTCTTCAGAATGACGCTCATCCTTGTCGCAAAATAAACACTTAATCAAAACTGCCTACAGAACAATACAAGAACAAAAACTGTGATAAGAAACAAATGACTTTTCTTTATTATGTTTACAACTTTAACAATTGCATAATCAAATATATAAACTTAATTTCAAAAAGAAAACAATAAATTTCAGAGAATGCATTATTGATAACGAAAAACAATTTGTCATATGTAAAAGGAGGACACAAACCACATAGAAGACTAGCAATATTCGACACCCAACAACGTGAAACATAAGTACCGTAATTAGCAAAATGAACACATGTTCCTTGCAGATATATACCTGTTATATACAGTAAATAGCTATTTGGATATTATAACTGCAATACACCAATAAAATGCCAGATTTTTGACAAATAGTGTAACACATGGTAGATTAATGCATAGTGCAAATTATCACACAATCAGTTTATCATTATTCAACACCATAATTTTTTGCCTGTATCTCACTAGATATTTTTAAGGTGTGATGCGAGATATGAAGAGTTCCGGCTTCTTTCCTTGTTGTCCGTGGTAGCTGTAGAATTGGAGTCAGAACACAGGCTTTCGTCCTCTGCTGGTTGCTAAACTTTTTCTGGGCAGCAATAACGGCAGGGGTTCTCCAATCGGTGCAGCGTTCGTATCCTTTGTGACGGTTGATATTGTCAATGGACTGTACGTTTAATGGCTCTTTGGCACGTGTTTTCATCCAATATCTTCCTTTGATAATGTCAGTGCACTTTTACCATAGGTGACATATTGTCGGCCAAGATAGTTGTTATTCTAAGAACAACTAAATTATTGAGTTTTTTTATAACATTTATTTATAGTGTCAATGTTATGTTCTATTTTAAGTAATCTTTATAACTTTTCACTGAAGTTATCATGATGGGACAAAGTTAAGTTAAAGTTATTATTTGAATACTCTTTTTGATCTAATTGGTGTTGTAAGTTGATTTAATGTTCGTTATTCTACGGTTTATAATATTCTAAATGAATTTAACACAATAATTGTTGTTATCACATAACGTTGGTTCATATACTTTACTTCTTTACTCAATTCATTACTTCAGAATGTCAGAGCTCTATCTGTTATGACATTAATTGCAGTTCTTTTATTATTTAAGTTTTCGTGTAAGTTAAAGTTGAGGCATTTATCAGCTTTACTGCGTTCACGGTAAACTTTCATTTTATTGCAATTTTCAAAGTTACCGGAGTTCAGTATACTCTCTGCACGGTGAGCCGGCTGGATGTGTCGCAAATGATATTCTCCGTTGGATGATAAGGTTAGGCCTGGCACTGTTCAATGAAATGAACTGCAACCAAAAGCTGATCAAACACCACCGTTCAGGAATTTGATGAGTTTTGTTTAAGGATGTAGAAGATCAAGACTATAGCATACGAAAGTTGATATTTTGAATGAATTGTCTGCTAAACTGGTCAAAAGTACATTTTACACGGAAGAATACATTGGCCGTCATTGCAACCTGTCTTGCAAAAAATGATATGACCTGGGACAAGTGAGAATCATAGCACTTGCAAACGACAAAAAGATGTTATGATATCATGGTCACTCTGCGATCAGACACGTTCGCCGAAATCGACATCACCGACGAGAGAAAGACCAAAACGGATGGTCTCGACTTGCACGAAGCTGAAGATATGTCGAATTCATTGCGCAATGGAATAATAGCGATCAAATATTCATCGGGAAAGCGCACGAAACCGCGCTCGAATAGAGAGGTTTCAGATTCATTATAATGAAAAAGTCTGTAACATTCGAAACCAGCTCCAGTTTCATGTCATTTCGTGTTCCTCTATCAACTTTACGAGTGGATAAGCGGTGATTATTACAGCCAAAAACGTAAAGCGAAAGACAGAGAAGTGAGAAAGTTCTATTAGGAGTTGGAAAATGCAATGCAAAGCAGGTTCACGTGCACAGTAGTTCAAGGATATCTCAACGCCATTGTAGGAAAGGAAGCTCCAGTCTCATAGCACTTGCCGAAAGCAACTCCCTCCACATCATGTATACCATGTCTGAAGAAACTGCCTTCTTCGGTCGTATGGCTGGAAGAAATTGCTAGCAACTTTATTGGTCAATGTCAAGATTTCTAAGCCAGTAAATGGCCGCCGCGGTAGCATTCTGAACTTCAATTATATTGCCGAAGAACTTTTGCACCGGACAGTAATGTGGAGGAACTGTAGTGTTACGTCCCTTAGCCGATTCGACTACATGCGAATAGAACACAAAACAGGTAATGACAAAGGAGATAAAAAAATTTTCACTTGTCGACAGCATTCGATGCAGTTCGCTAAAGTCTTCTTCAATGTTATAAGCTGTTCTAGATCATGTTTTTCATTAGCAGCAGGGTGGCTTCTAGTCGAAACAACTTTATATGAAACAAACCTTGGTTGGCTTAAATCAAACCTCGTCGCATGTAACAATTATTGTTTATTTTCATGCAGTTACGCCTAAAATCATGGAATGTTTAATTGCTGCCCGGAGCTAGGCAGCTGGATAAAAATGATTCGATTTTCATAGAGTCTCGCAAACTTTCAGACTTTTTATGGTAAAATTTCTTTATTGATTCCATTGTTTTCATATTTTTACAGGATAGCTGTGCATATATCTGAGCAATTATTAGACGTCAGCTGCTAAAAATGTTGTTAATATTAATTCATGCGCAGCCCGAAATAATGACTCTCCATCTAATTCCGTTAGAGACCAAGCTTATATCAACGATATGATCTTGCAAATCTCTTTGTTTCACTGTACCATGAAAACGAGCCGAGTATGACTAGAAACGCGCGTGATTTGTTTAATAAAATATATGCCATATACCATATATGTAAAATATATGGTTTTCCATGTATAAACTATATGGTATGAAGTATATGGTATTTTATATATACCATATATAACATACCATATATATGCTACATATTGCATTCTGTAAAAAAGATGAAGAAGGTGGGTTAAATCTTCCACATAAAAGAAAATGCTTAATATTCATCTCTTTATTAATTGCAAACAAGGAGTTTGTGTAAAATGGTGAGCCGTTAATCAAGTGAGTAAGGCATTATCAAGTCTTATCAAGGCTATACTTAATGCTATAGATGGAATGTCCAAATGTCATAATTTGAAAGCTGTCGTTGAAAAGTTTGTCATTTTATTGAATGAAAACGAAAATAAACCGTCCCTGGGTGGGCTTGAACCACCAACCTTTCGGTTAACAGCCGAACGCGCTAACCGATTGCGCCACAGAGACGATCGCAAGTTTCTTTGTTCTCTTTATGAACCATAATATAGGTTAAATTCATTGTACATTGCATTTAGCTGAATTAAAGTACTTTGGCAATTGAATAAGCTTTACTAAATGAATTTTACATCATTAATGTAATCTCCTTATTCAGCCTTCTGTCTGCTTGTACCTTCCACTGGAATGTGAAAATATGTTGCCATGCAAAATTCTCCTCAGGCGTCCAAGGACATTATAGCCACTAAAAACTTTTAAAATAAATAGTCCATTGCACTTTTATATGCATAGCCGCACATAAAACTAAAAGAATTGTCAGTCAGGATTCTAAGACTGCTCTTGCAAAATCGGATCGAACTTCGCCCATGAGGCAGCTTTTGCAGGCACCTCCGCGCATCTTCGCACTGAATGCGAGATGAACCTCTTTGCTTACCAGTAAGCTGTTGAACGCAGCCTTCTTCTCGGTGCCAGCCAACTGAACCTATATTGTCCATCATGAAGTTCGTTTCTGACCTTCAGGAGGCA